GGAGCCTGGGTCTGCCTGACCTTCGCGGGCCTTTAGAGGCGCATTAACTATGACAAGAAAAAAATAAATCGCAAAAAAGAAAACAAGGCCTGAACTCTTCCTTTTATGCACGACTCCGAGTTATGTGTCTGGGAAGTGTGATGGCCCATCCACGTGTCAGCCGGTCTCCCTTCGCATCTCTGTCCCCTGCCTCCCACCTGACGGCTCTTCACTGGGAGAGCTGTGCCCACGGGCAGGGTTTAGTTGAGGGAGGAGGTGTCCTCCCTGGGTGAAGAGGCGCTGCGTGCGGACGGAGGCCCTGACGGTAGGTGAGTTACCCTGCACAGCCCGCAAGGCCCGTCGCACGCCACGGTATTGACCCGCAAAGCCCTTGGCGGCTCAGCTGGCTGTTTTGGTATCATTTCAATATATCTGAGCCCAATAATTCCATAAAAGCTGAGTCATATATTCATACGCTCAACAAATATTTATTGAGATCTGCTCTAGTCAGGGATAGTATTGTGACTAGGAGGCTTTTGCACAGTTATGCCGAGGAGAGGCGATGCCCTGGGGCGGTGGTTAGGACTCCGACAGTGACTGTTTTCCACAAGCTCCTGCGACTCGGGGGCTCTCACCCTCGTCTTCCTGTGGTGACGAGGGGACTTTCTCTGCAGGCTGCGTGGCAGGCCCGTCCTGCGGGTTCCATCATTCTCTGGACATCACACAAGTCAGCAGAGGCACAGGCGGCCCTGCTTCCCCCGCGTCAGCTCCCTGTTCTCGACGGCTGGACCCTTGTCGCTGTGGTGATCAATGTGTGATCAATGGTCGCCCGGGTCCCCAGAGACAAAGGTCCCGTTAGGAATTCGCAGCAAAACTGAAAAACAACAACGGTTCCTCCTGTGTTTACAGCTTCCTCCAGGTGCCTTGAGTGCATTTTTCCTAAGAACAGCGACGCGTCCTGGGTCCCTCACAGCTGCCCCCGTCACCGATGTGCCAAAGAAAGATGCGGCGCAGACCAGCAAAAATAATACTCTCAAAAACCTGCTACTGTTTTTAAGGTACTTTACTGTGGCGTATGTATTCTTATTTGAATAGTAATTACTTATAAGTACACAAAATAACTTAATTTCTAAAATTTACTCTTAAAATACAGTAAGGCAGATATTATTGTCATTTATTTTACAGAGGAGAAAAACTGAAGCTCAGATTTTTGTCACCGGCCTGCAGTTATAACATTCTGCTTGTTTCAACTGT